TAATGACGAGCAGGGTGATGACCAAAATAAAAAATTTAGCCATTTGAGAAAATATGGATAAGTATTTTGAGAATGATGTGAAAGTTATGAAAGAAATTGAAGTATTTATAGAGGTAATTTTGTAAAATGGTTATTGTAGTTATCGTTGGGGAAAAGGAAAAAAAAAAAGGTTAAGTGTGTTACAAGTTATTTAGCCAAATCTTAAGTGTGTTAAATATCATCTAGCCATTATAAATGATAGAGATAATTATGAGATAACATATAAGATAAATGAACACATATGATGAAAAAAATTATTGAAGCTTTTCACATCTCGAGTGGAAGTTAAAATAAGGAATATCCTCCAACTGCTTCAGAAGCCTATTGAGGTATTCCATAATAAGAAAAAACAGCAGGGGAAAATGGGACCCCCCTGCCTAATCCCTCTTCTAGCTTGCATAAGATTAGTGAGATTTCCATTCACATTGAACCTGTAAGTAACGCTTTTAATTAACATAATCCAGGTAATAAAGATGTTAAGGAACCCAAACTCTCTCAGAATTTGCTCCAGTGCAATCCAATTAACCATATCATACACTTTTTGAATGTCGACCTGCATCATACATCTAGGAGAACCATTTTTCCTATCATATCCCCTCATCAGCTCGAAGGCTAACAGGACATGATCATGAAGGTGCTTACTCGGCATGAAGGCAGCTTAATTATTACCCACAATGCAACTGACAACTTTCCCCAGTGTGTTAGTCAAAATTTTGGATATAATCTTATATATTGTGGTGCAGCAGGAAATGAGGCGATAGTCTTTGATCATTTTAGCTTTAGTAGTCACGGGGATGAGAGAAACCACATCACAATTGAACCCTTTATACAATTATGAGATAATAAATCTAGGACAACATCACTCACATCCTTCCCCATAATACTCCAAGTGTCCTTAAAAAAACCAGACCTATAACCATCATAACCAGGAGATTTGTTACTATCTATGTCCTTGAGAAATTTTATAATATCAATATTGGTAACTAGAGCAATGAGGGCATCCCTCTACACTTGATTAAGATTGCCTCCATTCCTCAGAGCTGGAATATCAAGCCCCTCCAAAAAATTCTCAATATCCCCCATGAGAGCACTATAGAAATTTAAAATTTTATGTTCTATATCAGCTTGACTGTACACTGTAATGCCATCCTCCTTCTGCAGAAACCTTATCTTATTTAGATTATGTATACCTTTGACACTGGCATGAAAGTAGCTGTTGTTCCCATCACCAAGTCTAAGTCAATCGAGCTTAGCTTTTTGTCTTAAGTCATACTCCTCCATGTTACTCCAGTAAAAATGTTGATTGGTACAACTCTTCACTTTGGCAATCATGTCTTTATTCATAAGATCCTTGCTAAGAGTATCTTGAGCTATCCGTAACTCCTTCCTAGCACTCTCAACTTTGGACTTCATACCTTGAATAGGTATACTAATCTCCTTCAGAACAGGATTTAGTCTCTTGAGCTTCACCCAGAGCACATACATAGGATTACCATGCATCTGTTTATTCCAATTTTCCCCAACTCCAAAAAGAAAGTCATTAATTTTAGATAAACAGTTCATGTATTTGAATGATATTTAGTATTGGTGGTCTGCTCCTTACCCTTTAAGCAAAGCATCCCATGATCAGAGACATTAGGAGCTAACACAATAAGGGTGGAATCACTATTAGCTTGCAGCCAACTGATGTTACCAATGACTCTATCGATCCCCGAATATATGATGTTGTCAACCTTCTTATTAGACCAGGTAAAGTATTCATCCACATTATCCATCTCAAAAAGGTCAACTCTCTCCATCATATTTTTCAGGTCCTCGAATTCTGCTTCAGTCACTAATCTCCCTCCAATTCTATCTTGAGGCTTTAAAACATTATTGAAGTCACCCATTAGGAACCAAGGCCCCTGATACTGCTGGCTCAAGTTCTCAATATCTTGCCATAACTTTCTTCTATCCTCTAATTGGTTCATAGCATAAAGAGCAGTGATCCAATTCAAAAAGCTACCATCTAACCTATACACACCACAGTGCAGGAGTTAGCTCGTGCTTCTAATAGGCTTCACCACAAATTTATTATCATCCCAGAGCAACCATATCCTCCAATTCGCATGATAGTCATAGTTATCTAGGTATTGATTCTGCAAATTAAGCTTCTTCCTAACAGCTTCAGCTTTATTTTGCTTCACTCTAGTTTCAAGAAGGATGCTAATTGTTGGGTTAAGACTCTTGAGACGGGCTCTGGTATTACCAATTTTATTCAGTCCCCTTGTATTCCATGATATAATCATGGCACCTTGTCCTGCACCACCAGGGGATCCTTCGAAAAACCCCAAGGGTCCAAAACCATTAGTGCATTTGAGATTAGTATCAGCATCTGTCACTTTCTCTTTGCCATTTCTTTTCACTTTAGTCCATTCCTCCTCAATATCCTTCACTCTCCCAATTATAACATTGGTGCTAGCCCCCTCTCCAGCATCTACATTTGTTGGTGAAGGTTTTGGGATTCAGGTTTTCTCCTTCCCGGGCTTTGGCTTCTCACAAATATGACCAAACTTCTTGCATTTAGCACAGAACTTTGGTTTTCACTCATATTCGACCACTTTTTCATTTTGTTCCCCCTCTGTATCTCTAATAGTAATTTCTTGTGGAAGCTCTTGGGTGATGTACATCTCTATAAGAATATGAGCATATGAAACTCTCAATCGCTGCACTGCGCATTCAACTGTAACCATTGGTTTCCCCCAACGAACTCCCCAATTTTCCAAGGCTAGTAGCTCCCCATAGATAAAGTGGCAACTGAGGAAGATTGATCCAAATAGGAACAGTCCTAAGCATATCTCTCTTGAGGTTGAAATCCGGAGTCCACTCTTTCAACATCATCGGCATATTCAAAATCGTATAAGGTCCCTTCATTAGGATGAATTCCTTATCTTTGAAAGATGAAATCGCGTGATGAAGTAACCCTTCTCGCTGTAGTAGAGATCTGTGAGTTTCACAAAGTTCCAATTCATCTCCATAAATTGCTTAACCGCGTGCATACTTGTGTCTCTCCCTATGACATACATGATTAGAGAGGATTCCCAGAATCTAATCTCTTCAGTGATATCCTCGACTTCAATTTCTACTTTAATTTCACCATTTACCACCCTAGGGACAATGAACTCGAGTGTCATCCCATTCTCTGGTTATTATAAAAAATAATTATTCTAAAAAAATTAAAAATTAAAATAAATCATTACAAATCAATAATATAATATTTGTTTTTTATTTTTATTTTAAATTTATTTTTAAATAATATAATAATTTATTTTATTAATAAAATTAAAATTAATTACAAGTTATTAAATAAAAATAATTAAAAATGACAAGTAATCAATTTGTGTACACGTGACAATGACACGTTATTAAATTAATTGACACATCATTAAAATTGTACCTTAAATTGAAAGGGAGACTAAAATCTAAAAATAAAAAACGAAATAGAGAGATTAAATAATCAGATTTTAAAAATATGAAAATATAAAACTATAATTGCAATTAAATTTTTATTTTATATAACAAAAACAATTGATAATAAAAAAAAAATCTTAAATGAATTAAATAAAATTATTTAATATCACTTTGAAAACAAACACTTTCACACATTTGGTCATAAAATCCACAAAATCAAAGAAAGTTATTAAAATAAAATATACTAGTAGGCAAAATAATTTCGCTCATTTGAAGGTGGTCAAAAAGGCTATATACACACTAAAACAAATCATATGAAAATTACTATTTTTTTTATATAACAAAAACAGCTGATAGTCAAAAATTAAATTGTCAACTTTAAACGAATAAAATCAAATTCTTTAATATAGTTGACTATGAAAACAAAACAATCTCCCATTTTTGTCATAAAATCCACAAAATCCATAGGATAAAAATCTTAATCGAAAGGTAACAAATTGTATAAATTTATTATACCGTAATTGAAAATAAAATCTGAATCTAAATCTAAACACAAACTTTCATCAATTGCCTCTATTATATAAGAACATATTGTATTGTGTGTTGCTTCATACACACAAACTACTCGCATCATCTTTCTCTTTTTCATTTAGATTTTTATTTTCTTCAATCGTGCTTCCTCCAATGAAAAAAATCAATTATAATGTTGGAGACAAAGTGGAAGAATGCAGTAGAGAGAAGAGTTTGTAGGTTCATATTATCGCTATTGATATCTTGCAATGAAAGATTACTTCTTGTATATATTTCGATAAAAATTTCTTTCGATTCCTTTCTCGAAAACAAAGACTCTAATATCATATTGGAATATATAATATAGGAATAAATATCTTACACACTATTTATCTACCTAAAACTTTAAAGTGATAGATGAGTGAGTTATTTTCCACTTATATAGATTTAAATTTTCATATTCCTAAATTTCATCTTAACTAAAAAATGGATGTTTTTTATAATGATGGTTGGTGGTTAGAAGAAATTAATAGTGAGAAAATCTTCTCCGAAAATTGTTACTACTATAAGGTTCATTTCAATACTACCTCTTCAGACAATTTACTACCCTCTTGATCGAATTAGGATTCATCATGAGTGGCTTTATGGAGAGTGGATATTGGAAGGATGATTCATAACATCATTATGACTGATTGTTTATCAAGATATTATGAACTACATTATAATTACAATTTCTAGAAATTGACCTGTGTTTTATGTATTTTTAATTGATAATTTACTACAAATTTATAATCTTGTAATTTTCCAATTTATTTATTTGTGCGTCTTTCTCGTTATTTACTTTATTTTAGTATAAATTTTTTTATTTAAAAGCGATGAAAAGACAGGCATAAGTAGGAGATATTTTGCAAACACCGTTTGTCTTTGTATTTAATAATAAACACACAATATCATATCCATCGATCAGTGGTGTTCTCGGAAGAGAAAAGAAGAAAGTGAAAATGGTAATCATGAACTACTACAATTGTGTAACATGTGCAGCAACACCAATGTCACAAGATTCACCGTTACCAGACCCGAGACAAACCAAGGTTATCCTTCCCAATAAAAAACCTATGAAATGGTCCACTGGTATGGCTCCTGGTGATTACGGTGGTCCTCCACCAACCACCAAGCTTCGTAAGTATTGGGGTGGTGAGGATCCCGACCCTTTGGCTTCTGATGACTTTATGTGGAACAAGGATTTCGTCCCGCGTTTCAAGAGGATGATTCAGCAACCAAAAACTCCCATTCAACCTTCTCCTTCAAAGGTACTCTCTAATTCCCTATCTCGCTCTCTTTGATTTGATTCATGAATTGCTTGGTATTTGATGGTGGTATCTTGGTGAATGACTACAGGTTTTGTGTTTCATTCCGTGAGTTGGTTCTGATATAAATAATGTTGTTGTGAACAGGAAGTGCCTTCTGGGTTTCTTAGCTTAAACAGAGTCATGAGCCTCGACAGGTCTTGCTCCGCAATATTCAAATCAAACTCTTCAATTCTGCTTTCGTTCTTCTTTTTTCTTTATTTTGTTCTCACTTTATCTATTAAGTCATTTCAATTATCAACTGTGTAGTATGGAAGTTGATTTGAGCAAAGAACTCTCAGCTCCTGTAAATCATATTGTACAGCAGCAAATAGAGACACCAACTATTGTAAGAGATGTGTACCTTCTTTTGATTTCCCTGATTTATATATCTTTTGGATTTTATGAGTTTTACAAATTTAATATCGACCAGGCAAATGCAAGTGAAAGCAAGAGGGTAAAATGGAGATTGGCGCCAACACGCCGTGAGCAAGACAAATGGAATAGAGCTGCCAAAGCTGCAACCGACGGAAGCGTAAGTAATTTTTATATATCACTATAAATTTGTTTCATTTGTATCTGATTTTTTACTTACTGGATATATTTCCCAGCTTGTATTTCTCTATAAACTAGGATGGCGTAGGACATAGAGCTCAATCCATAGTTTACTTTTGAATCCAAAATGGTAACTTGACAATAGTTAATGTTAACCTATAGGATGTGATGTTTCGGGAGTTAAGGAAGTCTCGTGAAAATCCCGAAGTATTGGCTGCTCAATACAGGGAGCAGTATGATAAGGTACTCAACACCATTTTCTGGTTGGTTTTTGTTCATTACAAGTTATATAAATCTCACACTTTTTCATTCATTCTGATGTTGATCAAATATCAAACATTGTTAATTCTGTTCCTAAACTTAATTTGGGTTTTCAGTTAAAAAAAAGGTTGCAAGTGCTTACATTGGGTATAGGCGGCATTGGTCTGGTTTCAACTTATGTTTCTTATTCTCCTGAGATCGCAGCTAGGTACCTTGATTCTTCTAGCACTTGTTAACTTTGTTATTCATGTTTGATTAATACATACATTTCTCTCATGTATTCAGCTTTGGTGCTGGCTTTCTTGGTTCTTTGGCGTATATCCGCATGCTGGGAAGTAGCGTGGATTCACTTAGTTCAAACGGTTCAAGGGCCCTTATCAAGTAATCTATAGTTGATAGATTCACTATGTGGAATTTAATTTCTTTAGTAGACAACTATTTGACAGTCTAGTTTGAAGTATCTAGTTTTTCTCTGCAACATCAAGTTTCCCAAAGAATTTAATAACTAACTATATTTGTAAACAAATTTTACTTTCAGAGGAGCAGTTGGGCAACCAAGATTATTGGTTCCTGTTATATTGGTCATGATTTATAATCGATGGAATGCGTAAGTTCTCTTTCGATTTGCAATCCGAACAATTACTATTCTTTTAACAATGCAAATAAAGAGTATATATGAGCTGCTATCATGAGAATCCATTTTTTAAGCTTGGTTGTTTCAATGCAGGATTCTTGTTCCAGAATATGGTATTATGCACTTAGAATTGATACCAATGCTAGTTGGTTTTTTCACATACAAAATAGCAACTTTTGCTCAAGCTATAGAGGAGGTGATTACCGTAGCTTCAAAGAAGGACCTAAATATATCGTCCAAGGGCTAGATTTGGGTTAATTGTCTTAAGCATTTGTTAATAGCATTTTTTTCATATTAAGGATCTTAATTATATCAAAGGACATACAATTACATTCACGTGTTCCTTTTGTAATAATGTCTAAATATATCTAGTGTATTTTCCCTCTTTGAAGCAACAACACATGTTTAAAATCTTTTATAAAACCTTTTGTAATAATGTGTTAGGTTTTGCCCGTAAGAAGGCTAAGTTAGGTTTTTGTAATGTAGACATATAAGTTGTATATCTATTTATTAGCATTGTAGTGAGTAAACATAATTTTAATTGAATTAATTAATTCAATGAGAGTTGATACAAATCACTTCATTAAAACACTATAGTTAAGATCTAGTTTGAGATGATTCTTTTCCATAATTACTTTCATGAATTCAAATTAGTGATAGAAATAAACTATTAGACAAAAAATTCATCTAAAATACTTTTTTTTTTTAATTTTACAAGATCTAAAATATTCTAAAATCATATATCTTGCAGCAAAATTTGTGATCGACAAAATTGGAGAAACATTTTCACCCGTATTTTACAAATTTGGTGATAAATTTGTAGGTTCATAAATAAAAAGGTAATGTTGGTTTTAACTACTCTTTCTGGCATGCAATTACGAAAACTAACATTTGATACTCTATTTAAAATATTGACCTTTCTCAATGTGTGCTTTTTCATTAGAGTGTACTTTTTCATTAGAATATGTTATGGATGGAATCACCAACCAACTAATTAGGATCATGTGAGAAGGGTAAAACTTCAAATGACATAAGGTGATATGGATGAAAATACTTGCTAGCACAAGCCAAAATCCGGCGTTTTATTATACGGTAATAGATAGAGTGATTTTTATTTGATGTAGATCCACATCTGCAAAAGAAAACATAGGTACCAAATGTATGTATCCCATGCCACAAAGTTAAAAACACTCCATATAGGAAAATAACAGCATAACAGCTTAACCAGTGTTCTGCATGCCAGCAGCTATACCCTTCATTGTCAAAATAAGAGTATCCTCCAAACCAGGAGCATAGTCGCTTGCAGTGTTGAGCTTCACAAGCTCTGCTGCTGGGTTGCTTGATTCAATGTAGTCCTTGGACAAATGTGGCCTCAACTTCACATGGTAATCAGGATCGCGGATTCGCTTTAATGTGTAGGCTTGCAACACATTGAGAGTTGTGATGTAAGACTCACGAAGACGGAGTCTTTGCTTTAAGTAAGGATTTCCCTCAAGGATGTCTCTGTGTCCAGCAACCTACAAACAAGATTTACAGAAATACAATAGGTCAATAAGAAAATGTGACTACAAATCTCTGAGCAAAATAGAAGCAATAAAACTATAGTTTACCTTGAGGAGAAATCTCTTGGTTTCATCATATGAAGACCTTAATCGCTCTCCGAATGACCACAGTTCATCTGAGACTAGGAGTTTGTCATAAAGAGTTGTGATCCCCGGGTCTCCCTTGGCAAACACCATCTCAACCAAGTCAAGGGTGACCCTGAAGAATGGCCATTGATTATACATATCTTGAAGTATTTGGAGATTCTTTGGATCTTTCTCAATTACATGTTTGAATGCAGCCCCAAAGCCAAGCCATACCGGTAAGTGAAACCTTGTCTGAGTCCAGGCAAAGATCCAAGGGATAGCACGGAGTGATTCAATTCCTCCACTTGGCTTTCGTTTTGACGGACGACTGCCAATGTTCATTCTTCCATACTCCATCTCAGGAGTTGCCTGCAGTTTGTAAGATTCATAAATAAAGGAGAGAAAGTTAAGTACCCAAAAGAAAAGGAAAATAAGAAATGAATTTTCATGTGACTTGTGAAGAATGAAACATGGTAATAAATAGTCATAACTGTTATTATGATAACAACCAGCCTGAACAATGCCTGTGCTTTGTTGTTTTTGTAAAAAAAGTGAATTAAAAGGCTACCAATTCAAGGGCATTTTTATATGCTGATGTTAATTACTAATAAGAATGATTGAAAATAATACTCACACATCGGAAGTATTCAACAAAACGAGGCTCCTGAAAAACAATGGAGCGATACTCCTTTGTTGCAATGACAGCCATCTCATCCATGAGGGCACGCCATTCTGGTTTCGGTGACACGGGAGGGTGCATTCCGTGCTCAAGTGTAGCAGCAGTGAAACGCTGTAGTGTTCTGAAGCACAAGTGCTCCTCTCCAAATGACTGTTCAATTACTTCACCTTGAATCGTAACCCGGAGTGAACCATGAATAGTATCTGGTGGCTGAGATAATATAGCAAGATGAGTGGGACCTCCTCCTCTTCCTACAGTCCCACCTCTTCCATGGAACATTGTAAGCTTAACGCCAAACTCCTTGGCAACCTTTATAAGTTCTTCTTGAGCCTTGTACAACGCCCAAGCTGCGGAGAAACGGCCAGCATCTTTTCCCGAGTCTGAGTATCCTATCATAACTTCTTGCTTTCCATTGATATGGTTCCTGTACCATTCTATTGAGAATAGGCGGGCTAGTGCAGCAGGAGCAGTCTCAAGATCAGCAAGCTTTTCAAACAATGGGACGACCCTTAATGGTTGCTTCACACCACATTCACGTTGCAAAAGTTCTACAGCAAGCACATCAGATGGGGCTGTTGCCATTGAAATGATATAAGCACCAAAGCTGTCTGAAGGAAGTTCAGCAATGACATGGAAGGTATCCAGAACATCAGCAATTTCTTCAGTTTTAGGAAGATCAGGGCCAAAGAGAGGACGCTTTCCACCGAGCTCAGACAAAAGCCATTCCTGCCTGCGTTCCTCAGACCATTCTCGATAAGATCCAATCTCTAAGTGGTTTGTTATAGCATCCATAACATCAGTGTGCCTATCTGACTCTTGACGGATGTCAAGTCTCACAAGTGAAAGCCCAAATGTGGAAACTTGCCGCAAGAAATCAAGAAGGCTTCCATCAGCTATCGGTTGATCACCACATGCACACAGTGACCTATAACATAGTTCAAGAGGCTCCAGGAACTACATGAAAAATTGGAGGTTAGAGTCTATATAATATATAAATCACCATATCAAGATTACTTTGAACAATTATAATATCATGACATGCATTTGGGATTGTCTTTCCTGAATTATGAGTTCAATGATGTATAATTTATTAGAGTTTTCAGGTCACTTTGAGGAAGTTTCCTTTAAGGTGAAAAGGTTCAATCATCTGTATCCTGCGACAGCTTATCTGGAAGTTTCGAGGATAATACCTGTTCAACATTTGTGAAGGTAGTCTCTTGAGGTATTTCAGAGCTTCCATTGGCCAATAACTGCCGGGCACGTTCACGTGTATTATACAGTTTGTCCCTCACATCACCAAGAATAACACGATATGGCTCAGTTGGAGGAACCTGTTTCCAAAACTCTGCAGCAATGAAGAATTTATTTTGTAAAACTCAATACAATTTATTTATCAAAACCTCAAAAAGTATGACTCTAAATGAATCGACAAGTTTGAGACAACATCTCAGCATTATAGTGTTCAGCATTAAAAATGAAATTATGTGTTCAACATGGTAGATTTCAATAAAGAATTTAAATGTTTTGAGTGTTATTCAGAACAAAATATTATGACTATTACATACTACCTCTGTCCCTAATTATAAGACTCCTGAGTTTTTTTCTTGTCCCTTTTTATAAGACCCTCTTCAACTTTCAAAGCGTATTAATTATTATTTTCCAAACATACAGTTACATACACGTTTGCAATCAATAAATTTATTACTCTAACAAACTTTCTTAATTCCCGCAATTTACTCAACAGGATCTTATATTTAGGCATGGAGGTAGTAATACATACCAATATAATGTTTTGCATCTCTTTTTGCTGAGCTGTAGAGTTCCTCTGCACGACTACGTATCTCATCATTGCAACGCCACATAGACAACTGCCAGAAACAGACAATAACAAAGATGGTAAAAATTGCAAAAATTAAATAGGATTAATAATGACTAGTATATTTGATACCTCAAACATGAGATCCTCTATTTGAGAGAAGTATAAATTAGCAACCATCATTCTAGCCAGCAAACACACATCCCTTGTAACTTCAGGAGTTACTCTGGGGTTGCCTGCAATCCCCATTAGAAAAAAATAATGACGGGTTATAGTACATTACAAGCTACGTCTATAACGCAGTATCCAAAACTGAAGATGTTAGAATTCAATGACGAGATGAACTGAATTAAGAAAATATGAGGCATCATAGATCTAGAGATTAAATTTCTGGATCTACATTTATACGTTTAACAAAAGATAGAACGGATTTATGATAAACATATCACTCAATAATTGCTTAGGAGAAAAGAAAAATACCGTCACGATCTCCTCCCATCCATGAAGAGAATTGAATAATAGAGGCATTATATGGGATGCGTTCATTAATGCCAATGTTCTTCAGAGCAGTGTCAATGCGGCGCAAAAATTTTGGTACACCTTTCCAGATTGTCTCATGAAAGTAGCTCATTCCTGCCCTCATCTCGTCTTGTGGTGTAGGAGGAGTTCTTCGAATTTCATCTGTACGAAACGCAGCTTGAATCTGCATAAGAAAAACATCAGTAGGTTCTTGTCACTACACAAAGTTGACCATATAAATATCAAATTCAGATCTAACAAACAATTCATAACCATAAACTATTAAACCAATTTACTTAAAGTAGATTCAATTGGAAAAGCCAAATCCATAAAACTAGAGCTTGATAGTCTAGCACCAACAAGAGCAGAATCCAATGCCATATATATAATAAATAGAACTAAAATAAGATTATTAAGATACTGCACTACTTGAAGGTAGATTGCATCAGACATATTTGATAAGTACATTTATGCCAATTCTGAACCCAAATATGAAGTGTCAAATGATCACGGAAAAGTCATAAATTTTCTTTATTTTGGATATTAAACACGAAAATTCCACCACTCTATACCTTCATGTAGGGAGTGTAGCATCACGGCATTTATTCAATGCTATCCATGTTAATAGGTATAAACACAGATAACTCTGATTATTCTAAGGTTAATATACATGATTTTAAGTATAACTGTATATATAAAGTAGCATACATACAATCAAGGGGCTGCCAATGATGGCATCATATATGCATATAGAATCAAGAAAAATCAGCAGATAGGCACCTCTCTTTGCAAAGCCTCATCAAGTTCCTGCTTATCATCTGGTGTAATATCTTTTGCGTACAACTGTGTCAAACAATCCCTTACCCTGAACACAAAATAAGAAGGCAATTTTAATCAACAGGGATTAAGCCTTAGTACAGATATCGTCAAAATGCCAAAAACATAGGATTTTGGTGCCATGTTATTAGAGGTCTCCATAACTCCTCCTGTCAGTCCTCTGAGTTGAATTTCAACAATCACAATCAAGGTAGTTAGGGACAAACCTGCCGTGCTTTTGCAATAAAGATCTACGAACAGCCTGGGTAGGATGAGCAGTTAGAACCAAATCAACAGTTTGGCTCTTCAAAGCATCAAAGACTTCAAGGGGGGTCTTCTTCAGCTGATTCACAAGCCTCTTGAAGGTCTCTTCAATGTCTGACTCAGTGATAGCAGAGTTCTCATCAGCAAAATCACCCTTCTTCAATAACTTAATCCTCCTTCGGTAGGCAACTTGAACTTCTTCTGCCAGGTTGGCCAAGTTAAGCATGTGAGAAAATGACTTGGCAATGACAATCGAATCCCCGGCATCAAGACCAGTCAGCATTTCTCCAAGTTCCTCCAACTTCTGAGGGGTATTGTTCCCTTCATACTCAGCAGACAGCTCATAACAGTTTTGAACCTAATTAACATCAAATAATCGAAACTAATAAGCCACAAAAATCCATGTATTCATTGAAGGAAAATAAATATGCAGACTAGTTGCAAACAAAGCTAATATCCAGGTAAATTTCAATTTGGTATACTGAAGCATGAATCTATTTCACGAAAAGCTTAAATTTTAGCTCAAAACACAAGATCAAAATGAGAAGAGACATAGAACTGTGATGTTTTACGCACACACACAAAAGAGACGATAATTTGGATCGCGGCGTAAAAAAAAGTCTATGCAGCCACAACCCGGCTGCAACTCGGGCCCTGAGGGCCGGATCAGATGCATTTTTCTTTTAAAACTTGGTATCAGTCTTGAGACCAACTAATCTAAGGGGACCAATCCCACCGTTCACTAGCGGAGACCCATTTAAAGCCAGAGCAAAGCTCGCTATAATCAAAAAGGTAATTATGTGTGAGGATCATAAAAACAGAAGAAGTAACAAGAAACGAAAATGAAACTTCATTGAATTCAAGGAAGAGAAAAACAACAGAAGTAAGACAAAACAACAAGAAACTAGCTAGACTTCAAAAACATCACAACACTCATCAAACAAAGCATTCACTCCGGTGAACTGAGCCTTTCCAACAATTTTGATTACTTCAGCTAATTCAAAAAGTTCATATAGGACACGCCCATAAGGAATCAAGCATTTTTGAGAGTCTCTGGATGGCACATATATTCTCCCGATTCGGAAGTTGAAACGTGATGACACCAGATCGAGAAAGTGTGGTTGTCCGTTTAAACTGCACGGATATTGTAGCTTGGATGAGATGAGGAAACTTAATGTGAGTTTCTGGAATACATAACCACGCCTTACAAACAAAGCTAGTCGGTCATCCCATCATATATCGACTTAAACCGGAGGAGACAGAAATTGTTTCAAACATGTCTTTAATCAGAGTGACGCTGAAAGCCAGAGCAAAGCTCGGTATATGGAATGACCCAACACAATGATTGAATGATTGTTAGCACCTAACGAGATTCGAAGCTGAGACCCTAAGAGAGAGAGAGAGAGAAACACACTCTTCGGACCCAAACCTTCACCAAAGGCCAACCCTTGGGGATCAGACACATTTGATTGTAGTTCTTTGCAATATCAAGGAGGACTACAAGACAGTGACAATTTAAAACCATGCATGGAACACACAATTCAAGTCCCTTAAACAATTTAACCCATCAAACATAACTTTAAATGCCAATTCATACCAACAGCCATACAGTCAAATACACACCTCAAACAACTTTTTCATCAATTACAATGTTCCAAGACCAAAAAGATGACAACTTTAAAAATAAAATAAAAAATCAAAACGGGGTTTCAGGAAAACCTCAACTATGAACCAAAATGAGCCCCATTGAATTTCACCATTACAAAAAATCGAAGTTACGCATCTAAAATTCCCCATTATAAATAAAAAGGGGCAACGAAATCGAAAATGAAAATACCGTTTCTCTGATATCACTCCCATGCAAATCCTGCAGAATATCAAGAAAATGATCCAACAACAAAGCATCATATTCAACAAGCTTATCATCATCAGACACCTTCCCCGGAGCTAGCAACCTCAACTGAGCATCAATGGAAGCCATTTTCTCAATTTTCCTACCAGTCATATTCTCACTCACTCACTCACACAATGCCTTTGTTTCTCTCACTAACAAGAGAGAGAAAGAAAGAATTCCCGTGAAGACTAATTCGTAGGTTTGTAGGTAAATAGCATCCGCTTTATATATAAGATCAATTGTTTGGAAGGAAAGAATAGAAATTGAAAAGAAATGAAATGAAAAGAAGCAAACTAGCGCCACACATAAAAAGAGAGGGACACGAAGTTTCGAATTCCTTCAACTTTTATTATTTTCTTGCTCAAAAATACTAATAATTTACTTTACATATTTAAATAATATCAGTGGACATTTAAATAAATAAATAAACTTTTATTTATGAATTATTCTAACCAATATTGAAAAGAAAAAAAAAGGTTTAAAGTGATATTTTAAATTTTTAAGAATCAAATATCTTAGTATTATTTTTTTTATCAAGATAAGTTTTGACATTTAGTTTTTATTTAAATCATTTTTATTATGATATAATGTTAAGTAATAGTAGTTTTTTTTTTTACTTATGTTAACTAGTAGTTAAATTGTATTTTCAAAATTGTGTTGTTCTGCAATTGTAATTCGTGCTATTGAATCAAAATATTATCTGATTTAAGGATAAAATTATTTACTGTTCGATTTAGTTTTAGACGATTGATTAACACAATTTCAATCAAATTTTGTAAATTTTAATTTGAATTAATTTTTAGATATTTAAATTATAAAATATATCTTTTTATGAATATTACAAAAAAAAACTATAAAATAATAGATTTGTTGTAATCCATACTATATATTTTCCTTAGTCTTAATTATAAGGATTTTTTTTTATAAATACATTAAGTATCTAATGTATATAGACAATATATAGATCAAATACGTTTCTTATTTAATGAATCAAAAAATTAAATTGTTTTTCTTATAAATAGAATCAATGAAAATAATACACAGTGAAAGATTCAGTTGAAGGGGGACGGGGCAGGAGCCGCTACACCCCCTCACTTTTTATTTTTTTAATTAAACCAAAACAACATTGTTTTGAAATAAAGTAAGAAAAAACATAAGCTCGCTCTAATTCTAATTAGAATGGTGAAATATGGATCTAAAGTATGTTAATTCACTCTATATTTGTTTATGTTTGGCTTATTGCAACTCTTAAAATAATTGAAAAATCTATTCGAAATTTCATATGGAGCAATGACACCAAAAAGAGAAAAAGAAAATTGTTTCATCGAAGACTCTTTGCAAGCCTATTAATCACGGTGGCCTTTGACTCAGGTCATTTATTTGTTTAAATGAAGCCATCAACTTTAAACTTATGTTGGAATCTCATGAAAAGTGAAGAACCTTGGAAAAATCAGTTAAAAGTTAGAGTGAAACGATCTTTTGATTTCGTTAGGTGCCACATTTACTCTTCTCTATGTTCCAATATTAAAACATAAATGTTTGTTAATTCGGATTGGTTCTTTGGAAATGACTCCTGTTGTACCCCAAAATTTGCCCTCTCATTTTATCAAGATTTCCTCTCACAAGACTCTTTGGACTCCAGACAGGATTATGGTTTGCTCTGATCAAGACATCTCCTTGCACTGATGACCTAAATTAGGGTTTGAGTTTGCACAAGGATTTTTGGACTCCCAGTGCCTCATGTGACTTTCATACTTCATGTTGGACTTATAAGATTGCCCATACCAAGTTTCAAACTTTGAATCAAATTTTTGCCCAGTCAATTGGACAGTTGACCTAAAAATCAGTTGTATTGGGGAAAAAGGTCAACTATGGCCAATTTATAGTCAAACCTCATAATTTTTGATTCACATCAACATTATAGACTCATATGAACCATTTGATCAAGTTTGGACCACAACTCCTCAAGAAATTCAAAGGTTCGTGTACCGAAACGCGCTCCAAACTCAGAAGATCCTAAAATTCTCTAATAGGTTTGATAAAACTTTTTGTTATGACACGGTCCCACCAGGTGTACCAATTTGTTTACAGTGATTTCTAGTAAACAACCGCTAGTCTTCTAATTTATTGATTATTATTGGTTACTTGCAGGATCGACTAGATTGATCCTAGGACACATGTGTCATAACTCATTTCTATGTTCATACCCATTATCTTGATGAATTTATATTGTATGTTAATGTCGAATGTGAGATTCTTAAGAAATATCTCTAAGATTGTCTATAGAAATAAACTGACTGAATGTACAAAGGAAAGGCTTCGAATTAGACTTAAGATTTAATACTTGAATATAAAGATAAGGAGTTTATGAGAATATAACAGTTTCTGGAAATATGAAGTGTTTGAATAAAAGGATAAAGTAAAAGTGAAGTTTCTAAAGAGATAAATGTGTTTGAAAGCAAGTAAAACAAGGAAATAAAAGGAAATCGAAAGATTTAAGAGAAAAAATACTGTAAAAGTGAAATAAATATAAAAAGACTTGTATTGAAATTATAAAGAATCATGATGTTCAGTACGTACATTTTGTCTTCTAACTCGTTTCCCTTAAGTCACGGTAATTTGAGATTTTTTAGTACACGAAATGAACACACTCAATTCTAACATAAAAACACCTATTTATAGTATCCTGACCCCAACGGTCCTACTCTAAAATCATGCCACGTTCGAAGCATGCAGGCTCCTTACGTTTACTGGCTTCCACGCGTCTTCTAAGAATGGCGCTCTTATTTGAAATTCGAACCCTGTGCCAGTGAAGTATTTTGCTAGTTTTCTTCGATTCGAATTAAACCAATTGCCTGGACCGCTTCCAATTCTGGCACATTTGCACAAAGGAACTCTTTATATTTTAAACACTAAAAATCCCAAATCGAAATCCATCATCTATCACTGGAAATCGAAGAGTCTTTTAGAACAATGGTTTTATATTTCCCACCAATATTCATCATTGATATCAACCTCCTTATATGCTTATTCAAAATATTGTTTTAAAATCCAATTATTCTTTATTCGAAATTGCCAGCTAACAAATTGCCCCTCAAGAACATGTATTTCGATATATATAAAGAAATACTTGTTTTTGAATTATCCATGCAATTTCGAGAGTGTCAAAACTCATGATGACAATACTGCACACGATGGCAAAGTAAGTGTCCAACTTTCTGCAAAACGTCCAATCATCATACCTAAACGTGCAATCACAACAGTTATAGCTAATAATTAGCCACAACCATTTTGGCATTTATATAATACCATTTTGGCTTTATTATTTGTTTTATTTTTAATTATCCTGTAGTGATTCGAACCTCTTGCAAGCATGGCTTATACCTTTTTAAGTATTTCCCATTTACCTTCAATATTCTTCTATCTTCTGCTAATTCCTCTATTTCATAAGCATTATTCGAAAATGTTTTCAAAACACGAAAGGGTCCCTCCCAATGGGGTGACCATTTACCTAAAAATCTATTCTTTTTATCCATAGGTAATATAACTTTCCATACCAGCTCATTGGTTGAGAACAATTTACTTTTAACTCTTTTGTTGTATGCTCTGGCTACTCTTTCTTTCTGTCTTCTCATAACTTCTAAAGCATGCAGCCTACCTTCATCCACGTCCACTAATTCATTCATCATCATTTCCCAATATTGGTTAGCTGGTATCTCATTTTGTCTTTGGATTCTAACTGACTGTAAATGTATTTCGACTGACAGCACTGCGTCGTGTCCAAATGTAAGTCGAAACGGAGTAGTATTTGTTGCTTCTTTAGGAGATGTTCGACATGCCCATAAAGTTTGGTCCAAAGTTTTGTGCCAATTCTTTGGTTTTTGCCCTACATGTTTCTTTATCAACCCTATTATGACTTTATTGGCTGCTTCCACTTGTCCATTAGCTTGAGCATAATAAGGGGTTGATGTGAGTAACTTAAATCCCATTTCTTTTGCAAACTCTTGCATTTTTCGCCCTGTGAAAACTGAACCTTGATCTGTTGTGATACTTTCTGGTATTCCGAACCTGTAAATTATTTGCTTCTGGACAAATTCCATAATAGCCTCTTGATCAACATTCACTAGAGGAATTGCTTCGACCCATTTTGTAAAATAATCTATACCCACAAGGATATATTTCTGTCCTTTGGATGATGTTGGTCGTATTTCACCAATTAGATCTAATGCCCATCCTCTAAAGGGCCAAGACTTAACAATTGAATGTAACTCACTTGCAGGAGCATGTTAAATGCCTGCATGAATTTGGCATTCCTCGCATCCTTTAGCAAACTCTATGCATTCTTTGAGCATAGTGGGCCAATACATTCCATATCGAAACAACAACCATTTCATTTTGTGACCTGTTTGATGTGCCCCACATGCCCCACTGTGCACACTGGACAATGATAAATATGCTTCGGTTTCTACTAAACATTTGAGTAAGATTCCTTCTGGGGTTTTCTTAAAAAGTTCATTCCCTATTAGCACATAAGACAATGCCCTATATTTGATCTTTTTCTCTGTACTTACTGAAGGTTCTTTCAAGTAATTTATTATAGGACTTCTCCAATATGTATCTGCCAAAGTATCAATATTTAGCACTTCGAATTCTTTCTGATTTGCATAACCAAGTTTCGAATTTTCTAAGTTTAATGGTGATAATTTGGTAGCCATTATTCTGCCTCTTATTTCTATGAGGTATTGGAGTTTTTCTTTAGATGTCTTATATCCTGAGGCTATTTGAGCCAAGTCATTTGCCTCCTGATTATCAATTCTGGGAATATGTTTTATATCCACATATTCAAATTTCTTGAGTAATATGTTAGCAATAACAAAGTACATGATCAAATTTTCTTTGATACATTTGTATTCTTTGGTTATCTGTTTGATGACCAGCTCTGAGTCTCCACTAATTTCGACTCTGGTTGCCCCCAATTCCAACAAAGCTTCAAGTCCAGCAATCAATGCTTCATACTCAGCTTCGTTGTTCGAACAGGGAGGCCCTTCTAACTTGTACTTGAACTTTGTTGGAATTCCTTCAGGAGAAATTATGAGTACTCTAACCCCACT